AAAAAAAAAAAAAAAGAATCTACTTCAAATGCACTTAGCCAAAGACGTCTTTCCTCATTCACCCTCTACCCCCATGGAAGTTATCATTTCTTCCCTTAAACACTACATCACTCATTATCATGGCAGTCATTATAATCCCATGTGCTTTATGCCTTATCCTAGACTAAAGGAGGTTACCATTCCTTAGAGAAAGTAGATTCTCTTAGGAATAATCACAGCAGTTAGCACAGTGCCTTGCCCTTGGTGGGTGCTCCATCAATAGTTTTTCTATTACAGTCTCCTTTAGAGCTTTCAGGATGCTAGAACAATTGCATCTACTGTTACTAAAGTTTCCCCCACAAACACTTACAACCTCAACCTTGGGATCACTTACGTTGAAGAGCAGAGCAGGTACTGGCGTGAACCGCTCAACATGAATCATGCAGATGGCATCAGGGAGATGACCTTCTCTTGAGCCCACAAAGAAAAGCCTATTTTGGGTAAGATAGGAAAGGCTGAGAAACTTGGACATTAGATGTAGCCTCGTTCACATGCCACACAGCCCTCCCTCTGCCATCCCCTCCGAAAAAGTTTGAATAATATGGAGTGGAGTTCAGTATTGAAATTAGAACTAGAGGCTGCTGATGGAAACAAGAGCAAAGAGGCTGTGAATATTTGGGGAGCACAGTCAAGTCTGGGTCCTGTAAGTCCTGCCTCCCCCTGCCATAGTTCATAATAACCTCTAGTAAAAGATGCCACTCATACCTAGAAGCAGCCACAATGGAGGCATTGAGGCCACCAAAGCAGGATAATGCAACTGCCAGTGGAATTGTCCAGTTGAATATTCCAAAAATCTGGTCTGCAAAAGTCTAAGGAAAAGAGTCATTAGGGATGAAAGGCATGGACAGGCATGCCCCCACATTCCCACTACTAGGAACCCAACCCTTCTTCCACAACAGGGGTAATGACCTTCTTGCAAGCCCAGTATCCTTTCAAGGACTACGCCTTTCTTGGGACTTCCAAGAATTTCAGTATACCCAGAAGCCCACAAACACCCTCAGCCTTATCCTGCTAGTAAAATCCCTTACCACAGCAACAGCATCACTGGACAGGATGTCCCTCATGTCAAGCACGGTGTAATAGGCCACATTGGTCATGATGTAGATGACGGTGACAATGGGCATGGAAATGCCAATGGAGAGGGGCAGATTCCTAGAGCCAAGTAGAATAATGGATACATTAGTCCCACAGTCACATCCCCATCTCTCCTTTAATCCTTAGACTCTGCCACACTTGTGGCATTTCCCCAGTGACTGCCACTGCTGCCTAGGATAGTGGCTTAAGCTTTTAACTCTTAAGAACTAAAGATCAGGGCCGGCCGAGTGGCGCGATGGTTAAGAACTGGCTTGGGATGCCAGAGGACCCCGGTTCGGATCCCACATATGAGGGCCAGTGACACTGCCCTCCACAGCTAAGATGCTGAACAACAGCTCAACCTGGAGCTGGGCTGCTGTGAGTCGCTGGCAACAGCGTAGGCTGCAGCCCCTGTGGCAGTGGGTTGCCATGGGCTACCGTGTGTAGCCAGCAGCCAGCATGAGCGGCCAGCAGCCACAGTGAGCGGCCGTCCAGAAGCCGGCGACTGATCTGCCTCGCCCGGGAAGAGCGCAATGATGGTGCCAACTTGGGCCAGTGAAGCAACGTCCTCCACCAACTAGATTGAAGACCAAAACGACAGCAACTTGTCTGTTCCCCTTCCCCCAATTCCCCAGCACTGTTCCCATCCCCCCAATTCCCCAATAAAAATCTTAAAAAAAAAAAAAAGAACGAAAGATCATCAAGGGAAAGGCATATCACATTTGGAGAAAGGGGTATGCAAGAAAAAAAAAAGGATTAACAATTATGCCACAGCATAATAGCATAGGAAGATGAGGGGGTTTTTCGTTTTGTTTTTTTATCCAAGGATTCTTTTTCTAAAATTGTAAACATTGTCAAGTTTGAGAAATAGAAGAAGAAATTAGGGAGGCAAATTGTGAAATCTAACATCTCCAAAAAACAAGATTGTCCCTTAGTAAGAAGAGCAATTGTGTATCTGAACAAGTAACCTAGGAAATATGTCCACCCCACCCCCTTACTGAGTTTGAGAACCTTAGGTACCATCCTAAGTGGTAGCCAAGAGAAAGATGCAAAGACCTCTCAAGGTCCCTCTAGCCTAATGCCATGCTTTTATAAACAATAAACATTCTTTACAGTGAGACTGGGGGTGGGGGTGGGGGGCTGGGGGGGTGGCGAGTGGACATGGAAGGGGGCAAATACTCTCAAGTCATTCAGCTTCAGTCCAGTAGGTGGAAGCACCACCCAGGCCTGGATCCTGCTTCTGTTACCTGTTCCCAGGGTTGCAACACTGGGTGTCTACCAAGAGTATTCATGTTTCTCAAAGCCAAAGGGAGCTTATTATTATTCTTTTGGCCAAAAATTTATAAAAACCACTTCCTGGAAAATCTTAGTTCCCAGAATCACTGAATTTTAGAGAAGGAAAGGCTCTAGAGACCATACAATTCAACCCCCTCTATTTACAGATAAGGAAGCAGACAGATGTCGGGACTCCCCTCAAGGTCATCCAACAAATCAGTGGGAAGGCAGGCTCTGGAGCAGCGGTTCTCAACCTGTGGGTAGCGACCCCCTTGGGGGTCGAACAACCCTTTCACAGGGGTCGCCTAAGACCATCGGAAAACAAAAAGATACTTACATTACGATTCATAACAGCAGCAAAATTATAGTTATAGAGTAGCAACAAAAATAATTTTATGGTTGGGGGTCACCACAACATGAGGAACTGTATTAAGGGGTCGCGGCGTTCGGAAGGTTGAGAACCGCTGCTCTAGAGCCTTTCCCTTCCAGTGCTCTTTTCACTCTGCATGACTACAGGGTAATTTAGAATAACTATGGTGAGGTGATACGCTGAATGAGGGACACAATACCATTATGTCAGTATGAATGAGAAACAAAGGATCAGAAGGGAAAGAAGTTTTCAGGGAATCTGTGACCTTAAGTTCTCTATGTGGGGACAGGGTGGGTGAAAGACCTATCAAGAAAAATCTATTTTTAAAAAAAAGTACACAAGCACATGGTACAACCTGCCTTAATGCAGGAATGAATGAACAAATGTGGAAAGGCGTTTACAATTTTTTTTAAACATACATAAAAAGTTCACGTCTCAGCTCTGTTACTATGATCACGGACAAGTTACTTTTCTGGGCCTCAGGCTTCCCATCTATTAAAATGGGGCTGACAAAAATCTATCTCTGCAGTTGTCTACCTGTCTGGCTGGCACACAGAAGCTGTCTGGCACACAGAAGCTCAGTAAATGATGGCTATCATTGCCACGGAAAGTTGATGGTGAGGTACCTACCTCTCAGGATTCTTGATCTCTTCGGTGACATAGTTGAGGGTGTCCCAGCCCGAGTAGGAAAACAGAGCTGAATACAGTGCTAGGGCAATGTCGCCCATTGCAAATGATGAACCCTCAAAGGAATTCTCAAAGTGATTCGAGGCTCCTGGAACACAGAGAACATGGAAAGGCAGAAGAATTAGTGACCTACCCCCCAACCTCAAGGTGATCCATTAAGGAGTGGGAGAATATGAGAATAACAGCAGGTGAATGGCTTTCAGGTTAAGAGACCTGAAAGAAAAATAATACTGATTGGTGACTGACTCTACCATTCAGAGGGCCTTGGACTCACAAGCAATTTTGGCAGCAAGGGTACCAATGAAGGAACAGGGAACAGGAGATAGACATCTACCGTGCTGGGACAGAATGCGGGGTACATACAGAATGAGGATCTTGACAGGAAGGACATGAGGTGGCTTTCTAGGAGGGCTAGAGAACAGGAGTGATGCACTTCTGTTCTGCCCTGCAAGCTGCCCGATTCCACCCGCTTTGTGACACCAGACAGAGCTGATACGGGTGGTGGAAGGGCAAGACTCAATACGCCCAGGTCAATAATAGTTGTAGGGTAGGTGTTCAGACCTGGAAACTGGAGAGGACTGGGTATAAGGAGTTCATTTCTGCCCTTGCCCACTCCCAAGGGGAGAACAACTAGCCACAGCACTGGGCTTGCCAATATGCAAAAGCTATCTCCCCGTGCATGGCTGTCAGCCCTTTTGCCAAAATCAGCCTCCTCTGGGAGGCAGCATGCACAGAAATATAAGGACAGGCTTTGGGGTCATTTTACCTGAGTACAGATTTCAGCTCCACTGCTTACTGGCTAGGGACTTGGGCAAGGCACTTAATTCTACAGCCTCAGTTTCCTCATCTATAAAATGGGGATAAGAATAGTACCTACCAAATGAGATAATACACAGAGGGCACTTAGACAAATGTCGCTCATAGAAAATGCTTGACAAATGTCAGTTGCTATTATTATTTCTTACCCTGGCCAAGTCTAACAATGCCTGCGATGATGACAGCGATCAGAGCCAATACTTTAGCATAGGTGAAGACATCTTGGACTATTGTTCCCCACTTGACATAGGCACAGTTAATGAAGGTTAAGAGACCTGAAAGAAAAATAATACTGATTGGTTACTGACTCTACCATCCAGAGGGCCCTAGACTCCCAAGCAGGTTTTCCCGTACCAATCACCAAAGTAGACCTTTGGCCAAAGACACAGGTGTTGGGCTCAGACCTGCTCTGCACTGGAAACCTCTGCCCAGAATGTCCTCACCATTGTCATACAAAGGCACTTGCTAAGCACCTGTGTATACTGCACCACACACAGACACACACTATCGGCGGGATGACACAAACAGGAGACACCAAACTGACTGGGTTTGCTTACATACACAAGTGCTCACGGCAGTGGCAGGCAACTGGTAGCTAGAGGGGATGAGTGATGTGTTCAGAGCTGCTGGCTCTGAAAAGTCATGGTTTCTCCCTCCTCTCTACCCTCCGACCCCCTGATAGGGGCTCCAGGGCCTAGCACTCTCTGATGCTGTGGTATTACTGTTAACCTTGATGAGTCCTGTTATGACTTATCCAATATCTGGGCCAGCAGGTCAGGATGTATGGCCAAGGATTAGGATGGAGGCCAGGCTTCTGCGACTGCCTGCCAGCACAGCTGCTTGTTTTTGTGCTTGGAAAGATTCTTGGAACCAAGGTTCCTATAGAATGCAGACAGGGCATTTTTCCTGACTGGACAATGCAAAAGTAAGAGCTACAAACGTTCCCCAAGTCCTTCTACCCTGAGGAAGAGGCAATCCCTTTACCTGGATGAGCTTCGGTAAAGTTCACAGATCGCCCATAGAGCCAGCATTTTATCCTATGGCTTCCACAAGGCCTGAAATTCTTTGTAAAGTGTTATGTAGATATGTCCAAAGTATATGCATTTTTCTAAGTAAAGGGTCCATGGCTTTTGTCAGAATCTCAGAGAAATCCATTACCCCCAAAAAAGTTACAGTCTACTTCAGAAGCAGAAATTCAAGAAGGGAAGCCCACACATGCTGTGAGGTTAACCAATAGCCTCAGGATGTGGCAAGGAAAAAAAGTCAGAAGAAACAATTCTGAAACTCAGCAATGTTCCTCAGTTCCCCACCAGCCTCTTAAGCAAGCAGGCAAGCACATACACCACACCTTCCCTACAGTGGCAGAATGAATTGCTTCACTGCTCCCTCCCTTCCCAGCTCAGTAACTGGAGCACAAGAAGGATGGCCTTCTCCCAAGGGCTACAAGGGCAAGGTCAGAGTCAGCCTGCCTATCAGTGGAGAAAGTGAGGCCCAGTGCTGGGCTTGCCTGCTTTAGGCCACCAACACAATCAGGAAATACTCCCTGTCTCAGTTATGGCAGTGGCGTGTCCCTCTGTGTCCCTCGTGTCCCTAGTCCTCTGGTTTTGTTGCGCCCTGGCCTCATCACACTCTGACCAGAGGCTGCCTCATCCTGAGAAGCAGGAAAGACCAGCTTCTCAGGATAGCTGTCCTTTCCTCTGTCTCTACTTCCCTCTCCCTAATACCCCTCCTATTCTACTCACTGCCCAAATTCCTTACTGTTCTTCCCAGAAAAGGAACATTCCCATCCCAGAACACTTTTCTGCCTAATAAACAAGACAATAAACAACCAAATCTTATCACAGGGCTGGGCAAAAATGCATGTGTAACTCCAGGCCACCCCAGTGCTAAGTTAATAATTAAAGACACAAGAGTATAGTCTGCACAAGCACTCTACAAAATGACCAAAGTGCCTGTGTCTCACCCTCCACAAATCTTTCAGATCTGTTGATCCCCCTCAGCCAGTCACCCACCCCTTACTCCCCATTGGACTTCTGCCTCCAGCCATTCCACAGCCCTCATGCCCCTGTCTCCCTCCCTCCTGTAACCCTTACCCCTAACCCCTGGGGCTCTGCTGCTGGCTCACAAATATTATAGAACTGGAGCCAGGTTTCCAATTAGAAACACCAGGGACGACTGATGCCGCCATAGTCACAGGGAATGGGATCTGCTAATTAAAATTCACAGTTAGCCCTCAGGGTAACCACGGGTCACACCACCAAACTGGGATAGGCTAAGGGACTAGTTGTGGTTCACTCAGTCTGCAACCATGTGCCACAAGTTTCTGTTCTCAGCTCTGTCCAGGAATGTGGGCAGGGAAAAGCCAACTCATCATCCTTTATCATAACAAATTCTGAAATGAAAATACATGGATTGTTTACATTTTAATCCCTACAGCTTCTCTACTCCCATATCCATCTATTTGTATCCCTCCTTTCACCCCTCCCCCACTTCTGAACCTTTTTCTCAGTCACTGTCCCATCATCTTGCCCTGATCTGCTCTCTGTATTAAGCACAGGGGGCTTGTTTTGAATGAAGAAGGGAATCCTATAGAAAGAAACGAGGAAGCAGGGGAACTGCCTAAAGAGACTGGTCCTCACCTTCCCCAAAACCCAGCTTCCTCCAGGGCCTCTTGGCCATGGAACAGGAAACAAGTAAGGCAGGCGACAGTGCTGACTGGGCTCTTTATCCCCATCCCCAGCGGATACAGCTGACTAGAGGTCCCAGAGCCCAGCCAAGTGCACTGCTCTTGAAGCAGAGCCCAACCTCCTGCTTTGGAGGCAGGGAAGGGGTGGGGACCATGGGGTTAGAATACAGAGGCTACTAGCTGCAAGTTAACCTCAAGGACAGAGATGCCCTACCCTCCTACCTCTAGGTGCAATTCAGTCTCCACCCAACACTGGCCCAAGTCCACAAGAAGATGGCCTGAAATTACCTTGGACCCTTGACGCAGGTGCAGCTCCATTCCTGCTTTGACCCCTGCTTTGGAGAAAGGAAAAGCTGCAAAGAAGTCACTCCTATAATCATCTAAAGAGATGCTCCTGAATGGATCATCAAACCCAGACTACCCAGATGGGCTCCTGGAGTAGGAAGCTATTGGGTTGTCGGAAAAGTCATGATGCATTTTTGCAATGAAAAACACAGAAAAAGTACGTCATGACTTTTCCGACAACCCAATAGTTCTAGCACTAAGGCCCAGCATCAGCTCTGGAACTAAAAGCCAGGAAAGCACCACCCAGGTTGATCCAGAACAGAACAAACTTACAGGCCCACTCAGGATCAGATGCCCAGATTTCGTTTAGATGCCCAAACTAAAAAGTCCCTGAAAAAGAACAGTAGACCTACAATTCTCCCAGCACCAATATCTTTCCAATAAGCCAAAATGTCTTTCTCGCAACTTCTACTCAGTAGTCCTAGAGCTACGCAGAATCAAGCTAAACCCTCTTCCATTTAAGAACCCTTCTTATCATTAAAGGTGTGTGTAGGGCAGCCGGGTAGCTCAGTTGGTTAGAGTGCGATCTCTGAGCAACAGGGTTGCTGGTTCGAGTCCCACATGGGCCAGTGAGCTGCGCCCTCTGCAACTAGATTGAAGATAACGACTTGAGCTGAGTTGCTGCTGAGCTGCCAGTGGGCAGCCGGATGGCTCAGTTGGTTAGATCATGTGCTCTTAACAACAAGGTTGCCAATTTGACTCCCACATGGGATGGTGGGCTGCGCCCCACGCAACTATTGGGTTGTCAGAAAAGTCATGACACATTTTTGCAACGAAAAACATAGAAAAAATATGACTTTTCCAACAACACAATAGATTGAAAACTGGCGACTGGACTTGGAGCTGAGCTGCGCCCTCTACAACTAAGATTGAAGGACAACAACTTTACTTGGAGCTGATGGGTCCTGGGAAAAACAAACTGTTCCCCAATAAAGTTTAAAAAAGAAAGAAAAATGTATTGTTCTTTAAAAAATAAATAAATAAATAAAGATGTGTGTGTCCTCTCCCCCTTGAGTCTTCCCTCCTTCAGGCTAAAATCCAATTTTCTTCAATCTCTTGCGTGACAAGTATGGCTTCCAGACTACTCACCATCCCAGTTCTCTCCTCTGCATTTACAGTACTTAACTTTGTTAGTGTCTTCCTGGAAACGTGACACACACAGGAAACTCCAGACATTTTGCAGACTGTGGAGTCGCAGTTTGAACTCACTGTCAACTTTTTTTTTTCCCCACCTCAAACTGATTTCCCTCTCCCCCTTTTTGGGCCTATAAAAATGATTTTTTTTTAAATCCCAAATATGGAACTTTACATCAATTCCCAGTAACTATACTCTGTGAATTTTTAGGCATCATTCCCTTCTACTAAAAATGGATTTTTTTTCCCCTTAATTTTATCAGTTCACATGCTTTCAATTTGAAAGCATGTGAACTAACTTCACTGGAAGTCACTGATAAAAATGTTGCCTAGGATAGGCAGAGCCCTGTAGACTATCACTGTAGACCTTCCTTTACGCTGTCATTATTCCAGGACATCAACAAAGAATCCACCAAACTGAGCCTGCTAAATGGCGCGTTGGTGAAGAGTTGGCTTGGGACACCAGCTCTGAGCATCAGGGCCCCAGTTTGGATCCCACATGAGGGCCAGTGACGCTGCGCCCTCTCCAGCTAAGATGGTGAACAACAGCTCGACCTGGAGCTGGGCTGCCATGAGTCACCCGCAACAGCGTAGGCTGCAGTGGGCCTGGCAGGCAGTTGGCGTGCGCTTTCGTGAGCTGCCGTGAGCCTCCGTGAGCAGCTGTGAGCCTCCTTGAGTGGCCGTCCAATGGCCAGTGAGCCACCCTCAGCTGGGAACAGCACAAAGATAATACCAACATGGGCCAGTGAAGCGACATCCTCCACACCTAGACTGAAGAACAATAAGGACAGCAACTTGTCTGTTCCCCTTCCCCGATTCCCCAGTGCTGTTCCCCTCCCCCAACTCCCCAATAAAATCTTAAAAAAAAAAAAAGAATCCACCAAACTATACTTTTATGTACTCCACTTTTCCACCTAGTCAACAAGAATATCATGAGTTTGCCAAGAACCTCTCTCAAATCTGTATACACGTGTCTCTGCTCTAGCAATCTAATGATGCTATCAAATGATTAAAATAAAATTAGTACATATTTATACTATTGGGTTGTCGGAGAAGTCATGACGCCTTCTTGCAACAAAAAACAGAAAAAATACGTCATGACTTTTCCGA